GTTAGGAATTTATCATATGTTATTCATTTAGCATCCATTTATTGAGCCATTGATGGGCACTGTTTTGTTCATATGTTGTTTGTTTTTCGATACATTTTATTTTTGAGATGTTTGGGGTTCCAGCAAAATGGAAAGGCAGAGACAGAGACTTCAAACATAATCCATTCTTCTTCACCCCACCACAGCTCTCCCATTATTCACACCCCCCACTAGAGTGATGCATTCATTACACACACAGCTCTCCCACTATTCACACCTCCTGCTAGAGTGATACATTCATTATGTACACCACTCTCCCACTATTCACACCCCCCACTGGAGTGGTACATTCATTACACACACAGCTCTCCCATTATTCACTCCCTCTGCCAGAGTGGTATATTCATTACACACACAGCTCTTCCATTATTCACACCCCCCACCATGGTGGTATGTTCATTACAACCAGTGATCTATCATCTAAAGTCCACCGTTTACGTTAGGTTTCACTCTGGGTGTTGCATATTCTACCTTTGCTTTTTCTACCTTTTCAGTAGAAAGTTTAGGTCCTTGGGAATCAGGAGTAACAAGACACAGACATTCGTCTCCAAACTTGTGACAGCCCCAGAAGTTAGGCTGGCTAGGAGTTGGTTTCTCCAGTTTTGAAGTTGTAGGTTTGGGGAGTGCCATGTATTCAGGTCAAGAAGTAAGTTAGAACTGGACATGGAACAACAGACTGGTTCCAATTGGGAAAGGAGTACGTCAAGGCTGTATATTGTCACCCTGCTTATTTAACTTATATGCAGAGTACATCATGCGAAATGCCAGGCTGGGTGAAGCACAAGCTGGAATCAAGAATGCTGGGAGAAATATCTATAACCACAGGTTTGCAGGTGACACTACCCTTAGACAAAAAGTGAAGAGGAACTAAAGAGCCTCTTGAAGGTGAAAAAAGAGAGTGAAAAAGCTGGCTTAAAATTCAACATTCAAAAAATGAAGATCATGGTATCTGGTCCCATCACTTCATGGCAATATGGTGGGGAAACAATGGAAACAGTGACAGACTTTATTTTCATGTGTTTCAAAATCACTGCAGATGGTGATTGCAGCCATGAAATTAAGACATTTGCTCTTTGGAAGAAAAGCTATGACAAACCTAGACAGCGTATTAAAAAGCAGAGACATTACTTTGCCAACAAAGGTCCGTCTAGTCAAAGCTATGGTTTCTCCAGTACTCATGTTTGGATATGAGAGTTGAACCATAAAGAAGTCTGAGCACCGAAGAATTGATGCAGTGCTGGAGAAGACTCTTGAGAATCCCTTGGACTGCAAGGAGATCAAACCAGTCAATTCTAAAGGAAATCAGTTCTGAATATTCATTGGAAGGACTGATGCTGAAGCTACAACACTTTGGCCACCTGATGCGAAGAATGGACTCATTGGAAAAGACCCTGATGCTGGGAAAGATTGAAGGCGGGAGGAGAAGGGGACAACAGAGGACAAGATGGTTGGACTGCATCACCGACTCAATGGACATGAGTTTGAGCAAGCTCTGGGAGAAGGTGAAAGACAAGGAAGCCTGGCATGCTGAAGTCTATGAGGTCACAAAGAGTCAGACATGACTGAGCAACTGAACAACAAATGCCCAGAGTAATAAAGCTGTAAATGTCAGGGAATAAAAGATAAACCTATTTTATAAATTATACTCTTCCAGAAAGAAGGGGTAAGTCAGCAGGGCTGTGAGATTTTCCTTGGTGCTAACATAACATTACTTTTATGGATGCTGTTTTGAATTTCCACTTCCATATCAATGATAGCTTAAGATAATGAGCCGTAAGAGATGTGGTTTTGTTCTCTGGGTCAAGAAGATCTCCTGGAGGAAGGCATGACAACACACTCCAGTGTTCTTGCATGGAGAGTCCCATGGACAGAGGAGCCCGGCAGACTACAGTCCGTGGGGCCGCAAAGAGTTGGACATGACTGAAGTGACTTAGCACACACATGGTACACTTCTACTGTTTGTGATTGGCCTAGTTTTCTTTGATAAATAACTTTTAGGCTAGTAGAGCTCTGCTATTTGATTCTAATATTAGGCATGTGTATGTATATATGAGCACACATCTATATCTGTCTATCTATATGTGTATGTGTATGTGGTGATGGTTTAGTTGCTAAGTCATGTCTGACTCTTTTGTGACCCGATGGACTATAGCCCGCTGGCTGCTCTGTCCATAGGATTTCCCAGGCAAGAATACTGGAGTGGGTTGCCATTTCCTCCTCTAGGGAACCCAGGGATCAAACCCGCATCTCCTGCATTGCAGGTGGATTCTTTATCACTGAGCCACCAGGGAAACTCATATGTATATACGCATAAATACCATATATAGAGTGAAAGTGAAAAATGAGAATTTTGTTGACTTGAGTTGCAAGTTAAGTTTTCTTTGGGGGCAAAATGAGGACTGTAGCCTGGGAGACAGCATTTCAGATAACTCTGAGAACCTGCTCCGAGGAGGTGAGGGGGAGCTCGGATATACAGGAGCTTTGCAACAAAGGGCAGGCATTCTGAATATCAGAAGACTACTATCCCAAGAAGTTTGGCACTTTGCTATGTATGGGGAGATGCAAGAGTTGGGTCTCATTGAAATTATTCCTTTGATATATATCTCAGCTATTTGGGGCATGTATCTTGTGTTTTCACATCCTGAGTTTCCATAGAGCTCCTGGCTGACATTGGAGACTGCAATTGCTGATGACTGTCAGATATTTGTTTACTGATATGGCAGGAAATAGTTCCATTTTCCAACTAAAAAATTAGGTGTATACAATGATACATGACTTTAAAAATGATAGGATTAAATCAATATGATTTTCTCTTCACTTTTCATAATCATATTCCTCTGTTACTGTTTGTCTTTAAATGATTAATTAGGCTCACAGTATATCTGCATCTGTTCATTTTTCTCTCTGTGGAGATAGTAAGTATAAAGGTTGATTCTGCTGTGGGTAAGTTTTATCATGGTATGTATCACCTCTTCTAAATATTTCTTTTTCCATGTAGGATAAATATTTGATCACATTTGAATTTGAAATACAGTAAAACTGGTTATCTAAGACCATGGAGCATAAAGAGTTAGCAACCAGCGAATGAGGCAGTTGGGAAGGAATTTGGAAGGCAGAGGAGGAGGGAGGCAGGGCTGGGAGAGGAGCCAGCTAAGCCAGTGGGAGGAGCAGAGAGGGGGCTGCAAGGGAGAGAAAAGAAAAATTGGGGCACGTGAGTGGAAAGGGATCGGGAAATCAAAGACCGAGACTGTGGCTGAGCGAGCTGTGACGGAGGGTGGCCTGTAAGAACACCACAAAGGCAGCGGTGTTAGGGCTCCACTGTGCCATCTGTTAGCTCAGCCCGATAGAGTAGCTGATCTTGCAAAGCAGTGGCCCGGCCTTACGAGGCCAGAAGAGTCTTGAGGAAAGTGGCTTAGAAAACTGCATGTAAGATGGAAAGAGTGCATTAAGAAATTTCAAGTAATGAAATAGTGCAGAATGACAAAGGGCTTAAACAACAACGATTTCCTTAAGTAGATTAAATAATTTGGGAAATGTGTATGTTTCCAAGATCTGTCCTAATGATTACAGCCTATTGTCATCTTACACCTATGATCTCTTCTTACCGTAAGTGATGTTTATAGTATAGCCTTCTAATTGATGCTTGTTTTGAAGCCGAGCAAAACTCTGAACTTCCTGCTAAATCATAATCAAAAGATTGCATTGTTAGGTTTTTATATATAGTGTTAAAACACATAGGTTTGGTGGTTATTTGTAGTTTATGGTAATCTCTTTTTTATTTCTCCCTATCTACTAAATAGCAATTCCTCCCTAAAACAAGGTATGTCTGATTAGGTTATCCAAGAGACCACCAGTACATTAAGTACTGTTACCACCCTTACTCTAATACATGAGGAGTCTGAGTCTTGAAAAGTAAGGAAACTTGCTCAGGGCTCATAGCTAATAGGTTACAGAGCCAGGTCCCAAATCCAGGCTGGCTGAATACTTTGATCTTTTAACAACACTGTTTTCTTGCCTGGTGCTTACTAAAGAATAGTTTCCTTTTAGGGCAGTGAAAATACTCTAATACTGTAATGATGGATAGATATCATTGGACATTTATCTAAACCCATTACATTCAGGACACCGAGAATGGACCCTTACGTAAACCATGGACTTGGTGTGATTATGAGGTGCCAGTGCAAGTTCATCCTTGGTAAAATTTTTTAAAAAATGTACCATTCTGGTCAATGATATTGATCGTGGGAGAGACTATACATGTGTGGGAATAGGGAGCATGTGGAACATCTCTATGCTTTCCCCTTAATTTTGTTGTAAAACCTAAAACTACTCTTAAAAAAAAAACAAACTAAAAAACTCTTCAAGGAAAAGAAAAAATTAACACCAGACCCAAACCTGAAAACTTAGTCCCTGTTTTATTTAATATTCTCAAGTCAAATCATGTCCAGTTCCATTGACCAGTAAAGCCCTGTCTAGCCGCACTCTTGAGCCAAATCTCTGATAGGTGCCTGTGTCTTCTGTGCTTCCTGTTTGTGGTAATCGGCCCCCTCCGGCCCTCGCCCCAATCCCCACCATGCCATGCAGTTCGTTCTTTGGCTGTGGATTTTGACAGGGTCTCTCTCGGGCTCAGCTTCTCGGTTTTCCCGTCCTTCCCACTTCACTTGGTTCTTCTAGGTCTCGGCTCCTTGTGCTGTTCCCTGTTGTTTTTGTCTGAGTGATCACAGTGCTTCGGGTGAAGGGTGCCTTTTCTGTTTGGCTATTGGACATCTCCCAAGCCTCACCGTGTTTATCAAAGACAACGTCAGACCAATCCTGGCCACAGCTTTGTTCACACACTCAGATGTTCACACGTGTCCTGTGGGTAGGGCACTTCGGAAGGGTGGCAGCTCACCCGCGGAGGCCTGGGCTCAGCAGGTCTGTAAAGGAGAGGCTCTGAGAAGTCGCTCTGTGTTCTTTCCTAGTTGGCCTGCTGCTGTGGGAACGCTGGCTGCTCCTACTGCTGTGGCCCCAAGGTCCGTCAGTCCCGGAGTACCCGCTTCATGTACGCGCTCTACTTCATCCTGGTCGTCATCATCTGCTGCATCATGATGTCCAACACCGTGGCCAACGAGATGCGGGAGCACGTAAGTCAGCCCCTTCCGCTCGGCCCGTCACCGGCGATGGCTGATGAGGCGGTGTGGGAAGTATTCGGTGTAGAACAAGGGGCGCAGCCACCCAGGGTGGTTTGGGGTTACACCTGCTCTTCCTGAACCTTGCTGACGCCTCTTCAACGCTTTCTTTCTAAGCTGGCAAACCTTTCACCATCTTGATCTTTAGTGGTAGGTCAGATGCCTTCCGATGTCTTAGCTTTGTTGATGGCTGTTCCTGATTAGATGTGTAGTCTTTCCTTGTAGACTTTTGTACTTTTCCCTGGTCCTAAGGATGATGGCCAGTGTCTCCAGTCACAGCTATTATACAAACACTTAACGTGGCCAGTGTGGTAAAGCCTAGACCATCCCACAGAAAATGAGGAGTGGGCTAAGGGGGGGTTTTACTTTTCTGGACATGTCACATGTAGGGTGGGTGTTTCCAGGGGGTGAAGGATGGATTTTCTTCCAGTCATTGCGTGGGCAGTGTCTGCAAAGGTATCCCTGGTACATGATGCTGAGAGGGACACATATAGGACCTGTTTCTGGAATTTGCTCATAATGGGCCTGATGATGGGGGGATGGATTGGGGATTCTGAGGGAGCCCAATAAATAATGCCATCCTTCCCTTCTCAGGTTCTGAATAAATTGACAAAAAAATACTACAATGTCAGCATGTAGATACAAACATCACGTTTATCCCTCCAAAAGCTGGTATAAGGTAGCGTGACTCATATTTGCAAGGAAGTGCGCTTCCTACTACTGATCCCCAAAATGAGTCAGACTTGACCCACCTGGGGACCCCACCTGAACCAGGGAACTCTTCCTTTGCAGGGGCACATTTGCTGCAGGCGTGTTCTCTGGGGACAGCTCTCCTCGGAGGGAACGGGGGAGAAAAAGGCTGACCAGCCAGACCCCATTTGCCCCACAGACTTAGTGCTTAGCGCTGCATCTTCCAGGAGCCCAGACCCATCTTCCCTTGCCCAGAGTGGCAAGGTCAGACAGTGTCCTGCTGGAGCCATGGAGATGGTGCCATCAGGAGCAGCTCCCAAGGAAGTGTTTGTTCCCTCCAACTTTAGGCTGCAAGTGCAGACTATTTTAAATGTACTCAAGGGCTTCAGAAAAACTATTTTCTTAGAAGTACTTGTTACAGTCTTACCCATTAGCTAAGGTAGGCCCTTGGAAGTTTTCTGTTGGGTAAGGCTCTTATCACTGGGGTTGTATGGTCTGGAATATATTGGAACTAATGTCAAAATTTGTGAAATTTAGATTCTCCTCTGATTGCTTTAAACAACAGATCTCTGCTCAGTAAGGCCCTGCGTTGGGAGCTGTGGGGCCTTCAAAGTTGAGAGAAAAAAAGCTTGTAACTCAGAAGACTGGTATAAAGTCTCCTGAGGCTTAAAACCAGGTAGAAATCGTGCCTTATGAGAGGATGCATGAAGTGCTGTGAAGTTTGGCGGCAGGGAGAGCAAGAGCCAAAGCTGCTTTGTTCGACTACACCAGGTCCTACTGTGTCTCAGTTGTGTTTGCCACTCCTGTCTTCCTCTTACCATGGTTTACTCTTGAATGTTTGTGACAAGAAGTTTGAGAGGAGGAATATTTGAAAGAGTAGATTTAACTCTTAACTTTGATTACTTCAGCTTTTCAGGTAACTTAATGTTCTCTTTTTAAATGAACCAACATTGGTTTAGGGACCCAGCGTGTCCATGGGACTCTTAAGAAACTTTCAGGCTCTGGAGATTAGGTTTTGGATCTCAGATACACGGTCTCCTTAGAGATAAACCCATCAGAAATGTTACTGGAGGTAAAGCTAATTTGGGAATGACAGGACATATTTTAGGATGTGAGTTTAATAATAATAATTTGTAACATTTGATTGTCATCCAAGTAACCTACCTCATGGAACAATCCCCAACAACTCCAGCCAGTATTTATGGTTTCTGGCTGTTTGCAGAGCATTTAGGAAACAGAAGATTTGGTTTTTTGTTTTTTGTTTTTTTTTTTTTTAAGAAAAAAAAATGGGGGGGGCGGGGAGAAACAGAAGGTGCTGACCAATGTTGCTAGAGAAGGCTTCATGAAAGAGGGACTCATGTGATGATAATGAGTATCTCAGTTGCTGATATCTGTTGGGTGATACCATGTGCCAGGTTTTATTTTAAGCATTTTACTTGAATCATTTCAGTTCATCACTGCTGTACTCAGCCTGAGCAATAGGTCCTGCCGCTGGCCCTGCTCTACAGATGAAGAAACCGAGGCTCAGCGTCGCTTACATACCTTGCCCAAGGTCTCTCGCTGCAGGTGGGGGAGTTGGGATTTGAACCTAGGCTGACTGAGTTCTTAGTGACTCGGCTCTGTGGGGAGAACAAGGACAGGCATGTGTAGAAGGACAGGGAGGAGACGTGGGCAGGAATTTCAGGGCTCAGGTGAGGCATTTGGCTATGGTCTCATGGCAAATGGGAAGCCATTATAGACTCTTGAGTAGGAGGCTGTTGTCATAGCAACAGGCTGGGATACTTAGGGGGGTGAGGGCAGCAGTGATGTGTGTGCAGAGCGGAGGGAGGGAAGGGGCAACCCTCACAGAGGCTCTTGTGAATGTTTCTGTGCCTGCCCCCTGAATGTACTTATTTGAAAATGGTTTGGCTGGGCTTTCTGCATAGGGAATGAGGCTCCTGTGGGTGAAACCAACCTTTTTCCATCTCTGAGGTCTTACAGGGTTGGGCGGCCAGCTGGTCACAAAGTCAGTTTGTTTCTTGGCCTATGGAATAGAGGCTGACTTCATCCTCAGGCCTTGCTGGAGGGCCGGCGCTGAAAGGTCCCCTTGTGGGGACACACACTGGGCTTCGCTGCAGCCCTTGCCTGCTCTTTGCTGGCCCGTGGAGATGTCGGAGGATGTGGGAGAAGGAGGGGAAAGCACGTATCCTTTCCCCAGTCTGGGTGGGAGTGTGTAATTGCTCCTCAGCAGCCTTGCCTTCGTGCGCGGCGGCCAGGGCTCCGTGCAGAGCCTCGCAGGCCTCTGGTGTGAGGGTGAAGGGCACGAGGCAGCGTCTTTTCAGTGGTTTTCAGTTTGCGCCTTGGCTGCAGAACGTGGCGGGTGTTGAAGTCTGAGCAAGAGGGAGCTGCCAGGAGCTGCTGGCCCAGACTTCGTCCTGCCTCTTCTCACTGTTTCTGCAGACCTGTGGAAGTTTTGTAATCGAATCCCACTGACCCTCAAAGTCAGATTCCCGGGGGGTCCTCAGGCCCTTTGCTGGATCCCCAGGTTGGGAAGTCTGCTGTGGGGTCTAGAACTTTTGCAACAGTGCGAGAACTTCTCGGGTATACTTGTTCTCCAGTTTGTGGAGGACCCACCCGGCGACCTCCTCCCCGAGGACGCATGCCACGCGCCGCGCCTCCCAGGAGCGCTGCTGCCCGTGGCCCGTCCCTGCGGCAGGCCACTGCTGACCCGAGCCTCTGCAAAAGGCCCTCAGACCCAGGCAGGGCTGGCGCAGCTCTTGCGGGGTCACTGCCCCTTTCCCTGGGTCCTGGTGCACACAGGTTTGGTGTGTGCCCTCCTGGAGTCTCTGGTGGATCTGCAGTTTGATTTTGAACGTCGTTGTGCCCCTCCTACCGTCTCGTTGGGGCTTCTCCTTTGTCCTTGGTCGTGCAGTGTTGTTTTGGTGGGTTGCCACATTCTCCTGTCAATGGCTGTTCAGCAGCGAGTTGCGATCTTGGTGTTCTCCCAGGAGAAGATGAGCGCGCGTCCTCCCTTCTCCCCCTCAGGAACCTCCTGTTTCTCATGAGCACTCTGATTCTGCTGTGCTGGTTGACCTGGGCGTGATTTGTCTTCTCCTGTGAGCATTTTTCCCATCTCAAAACATACTATCCATTTTATTGCAAGTCATTGTCGTCAATAACTGTGTAAATTCACTCAGAAATAGTCTTGAGATATTTGATGCCTGTGGGGGTTAAAAATCCACTATAGAACGGAGGAGAACAACTACAAAATGGGTGAGAGATGTAAGCCTTCTGCCCAGCACCAGCGAATCAAGATGTAACTTCTGGGTGGAGGGATGCTGACCCTGAGGTTTGGGCATCCTGGGTGTGCGAGGGAAGGCTCTTCTTGTTTCCTGTGGGATAGGAGCTCTGAAGTCTAAGCCAGTGCTGGAGAAGGGAGGACAGGGCATATGTGGCCCTTGGGGCTGCCTCCCTATGAGCTGTGTGCCAGGTCCAGGTAGGAAGAGCCCGCAGGCCCCTGCACTGGAGCATCTCAGATCCGTCTCCTGCATCCCGTGTTCACCTGGTCCCCAGGCTGACTCATTGATGGGGTGGTAGGTGGTGCCTGAGATGGCTGAATCTTTGTGTCTTACTTTTTTTCAGAACCAAAACACATATTCCCTATTGTGGAAGACCAGTGTTTGTGGTGGTGGTGTAGTGTGTGTGGGTTCGCTTGAAATTTAAAATTTGAAGGATCATCACCAGCCCAGGTTGGATGCATGAGACAAGTGCTCGGGCCTGGTGCACTGGGAAGACCCAGAAGGATCGGGTGGAGAGGGAGGTGGGAGGGGGGACCGGGATGGGGAATACATGTAAATCCATGGCTAATTCATTTCAATGTATGACAAAAACCACTGCAATGTTGTAAAGTAATTAGCCTACAACTAATAAAAATAAATAGAAAAAAAATAAAATAAAATTTGAAGGATCATACCTTGTATTGAGAGGAGAAGCTACTATGATCTTTGGTTTTGATAGCAGTAGTTTTTTTGGTTCCTTCATTTGTTGTAAAAAGTGTTACGTTTTATAGTCTTACTTGATCTCTTTTGGAAACATGTTTTGCTTTATATACATGACTTCCTGCTGGTGAGTTTAGGTCATTTTCTTCTGAGTGAGTAGGAATGTGAAATTGCATCCTTCCTATGATTGGATGAAAAGAGCATTTTGGTTCTTTACAGCACAGGATGATAATGTAGGCAGAAAACGAAGGCTGGATGAGATCCCAGAGGTGAGGGGCTGCCTCCTGC